CAAGGTTATTGCTGTTAGGTGAAAGTTTTCTTTAAAGAAGAAGATTGTATGAATCTGAAGTTCATTGACTTTGATTGTTGGCCTTGAGAATAGATTGTGTGTTATTTGCCAAAAAAAGGGATAACATTTAATACAAGTTTAGCGACGAAACTTAGCTATAGTCCTGTTCTATAAGTCCTGACTTTAGTTTCAACTATAGTCTGGTCTATAGTCTGGACTATGGTGTATATTCTGCACTAAAGTCTGTTCTATAGTCTGGTCTATAGTCTGGACTATACTCTGGTCTATAGTCTGGACTGTAGTCTGGTCTATAGTCTGGACTATACTCTGGTCTATAGTATGGACTATACTCTGGTCTATAGTCTGGACTATAGTCTGGTCTATAGTCTGGGACTATAGTCTGGTCTATAGTCTGGACTATAGTCTGGTCTATAGTCTGGACTATAGTCTGGTCTATAGTCTGGACTATAGTCTGTTCTATAGTCTGGACTATAGTCTGGGTCCATAGTCTGGACTATAGTCTGGTCTATAGTCTGGACTATAGTCTGGACTATAGTCTGGACTATAGTCTGGACTATAGTCTGGTCTATAGTCTGGACTGTAGTCTGGTCTATACTCTGGACAGTAGTCTGGTCTATAGTCAGGACTATAGTCTGGCCTATAGACTAGACTATAGTCTGGGACTATAGTCTGGCCTATAGACTAGACTATAGTCTGGTCTATAGTCTTGATTATAGTCTGGTCTATAGTCTGGACTATAGTCTGGTCTATAGTCTGGACTATAGTCTGGTCTATAGTCTGGACTGTAGCCTGGTCTATAGTCTGGTCTATAGTCTGGACTGTAGCCTGGTCTATAGTCTGGACTATAGTCTGGTCTATAGTCTGGACTATAGCCTGGTCTATAGTCTGGACTATAGTCTTGGTCTATAGTCTGGTCTATAGTCCTGGACTGTAGTTTGGTCTGTAGTCTGGTCTATAGTCTGGACTATAGTCTAGTCTATAGTCTGGACTATAGTCTGGACTATAGTCTGGTCTACAGTCTGGCCTACAGTCTGGTTTATAGTCTGGACTATAGTCTGGTCTATAGTCTGCACCATAGTCTGGTCTATAGTCTGGACTATAGCCTGGTCTATAGTCTGGACTATAGTCTGGTCTATAGTCTGGTCTATAGTCTGGACTGTAGTTTGGTCTGTAGTCTGGTCTATAGTCTGGACTATAGTCTAGTCTATAGACTGGACTATAGTCTGGACTATAGTCTGGTCTACAGTCTGGCCTACAATCTGGTTTATAGTCTGGACTATAGTCTGGTCTATAGTCTGGACGATAGTCTAGTTTATAGTCTGGACTATAGTCTGGTCTATAGTCTGTCCTACAGTCTGGTCTATAGTCTGGACTATAATCTGGTCTATATCCTGGACTATAGTCTGGTCTATAGTCTGGACTATAGTTTGTCCTGGTTTGATTATAGTCTGGAAATGATCTATCTATAGCTTCAACGTTTGTCTGCTCTATAGAACTGACTACAGTCTGGTGTGGATTTAACTATAATTTGTTTTGTAGTTATGTCTGATACATAGCCTTGACAATAGTGATACTTAGTTGATATCAGTCTGGTCTATAGTCTTGACTATTATCTTATTTATAGCGTTGACTAAAATATTTTCTATGGTCTATAATTTGTTTCATAGCCAGATTTATAGTTTGTCATATAATATCTATATGAGATGGTCTACTGCCTTGACTTTCGCTTGATCTATAGATCTAACACTGTCTGATAATCATGATTAAGTGTCGTGTATAGTATTGTTGGATTGTACTATGTTTTCCGATTGCTTGAAAATTTACATAAATTCTTCTTTAATAAATGTTTTAACAATTTTCTGATTGTCTGGATAGCAATTCAAAAAAGTAATAAATAAATATTAACTCTCTGAATGATCTTTTAATTAAAATTCTTTATTTTAAAGCCAATTAATATCGCTTAACCCTTTTTTTTCTCTCTACCACTGGGTGTTCTTATTTCCTAAGTTCCACAATTATCATACCAAATCTATTAAATAAAACAAACATTAAATAATTAAAAACAAAGATCACTGAACCATGATCATTCAACATAAAGAGTCCATAACTTATACTTGAATGGAAAAAAGAAGGTTTATTTAAAATAAAATCATATTTCTTGGTAGAAAAACAAGAGACAGAAGTCACAAAGAGAAAAAATAAAAAAAAACATTCCAAAAGTAATTTATCCTCTGGTCGCACGTTTAATTCAAAAGGCATCATCGAACACATAACATGACTACTGGAATTTTGATTAGGACCAAATACCAAAACCGTTAAGAACAAACCAGGCAAAAACACACACTCTCTATCAATAAACGTTGTTTTTGTTTGTTTGCTTTCAAATACCTTTTTGGCCCTTATTAATGGATTTTGTAGCCAATTATATAAAGAAAAATGCGTAAATGTGTATCTTTGTGTTTGTTTTTATGTTTTTATCTTCTAAATATTTTCTTATTCTTTTTCGCTTTATGTGTTTCACTTAAATTGATAAAGCGATAAAACTATTTTAAAAATTTCAATAATTTTTGTCTCATTAGGGCTCACCTTTGTGTTTTTTCTTCGGTTTTGTGACTACACTTCAAAAATATTTCTATAATGAGCTTTGCTGGTCCTTTTCATTTTGTTTAAATGTTAAACAGAAAATTGTTTTGTTTAAAGAATTTTAATGAATGACTTAATGCAGGATTTTTGTGCAAGAAAATGTTTTATTATTTTATAATTTGTTTAAAATATAATTAAAGTTTTGTAAATGATTTGAGGAAATTATTTACATCAAGTTTAGTTACAGTTTAGTCTATCGTCTTATTGGCATTTATAGTCTATAGTCTAGGATATAGTATAGTCTATAGTCTAGTCTATGGTCTAGTCTACGGTCTAGTCTATAGTCTACAGTCGTAGTCTATAATCTAGTCTATAGTCTATTCTAGTCTAAAGATCTAGTCTAAAGTCTAGTCTATAGTCTAGTCTATAGTCTAGTCAATAGTCTAGTCTATAGTCTAGTCTATAGTCTAGTCTAGTATAGTCGAGTTCTTATAGTCTTATAGTCCTAGTCTAGTCCTATAGTCTACTCTATAGTCTAGTCTATAGTCTAGTCTATATTATAGTCTATCCTATATCTATTTATAGTCTATTCCTATAGTCGATTCTATAGTCTATAGTCTAGTCTATAGTCTAGTCTAGTCTAGTCTATAGTCTAGTCTATAGTCTAGTCTATAGTCTAGTCTATAGTCTAGTCTATAGTCTAGTCTATAGTCTAGTCTATAGTCTAGTCTATAGTCTAGTCTATAGTCTAGTCTATAGTCTAGTCTATAGTCTAGTCTAGTCTATAGTCTAGTCTATAGTCTAGTCTATAGTCTAGTCTATAGTCTAGTCTATAGTCTAGTCTATAGTCTAGTATGTAGTCTAGTCTATAGTCTAGTCTATAGTCTAGTCTATAGTCTAGTCTATAGTCTAGTATAGTCTAGTCTATAGTCTAGTCTATAGTCTAGTCTATAGTCTAGTCTATAGTCTAGTCTATAGTCTAGTCTATCTATAGTCTAGTCTATAGTCTAGTCTATAGTCTAGTCTATAGTCTAGTCTATAGTCTAGTCTATAGTCTAGTCTATAGTCTAGTCTATAGTCTAGTCTATAGTCTAGTCTATAGTCTAGTCTATAGTCTAGTCTATAGTCGTCTATAGTCTAGTCTATAGTCTAGTCTATAGTCTAGTCTATAGTCTAGTCTATAGTCTAGTCTATAGTCTAGTCTATAGTCTAGTCTAGTCTAGTCTAGTCTAGTCTATAGTCTAGTCTATAGTATAGTCTATAGTCTAGTCTAGTCTATAGTCTAGTCTATAGTCTAGTCTATAGTCTAGTCTATAGTCTAGTCTAGTCTATAGTCTAGTCTATAGTCTAGTCTATAGTCTAGTCTATAGTCTAGTCTATAGTCTAGTCTATAGTCTAGTCTATAGTCTAGTCTATAGTCTAGTCTATAGTCTAGTCTATAGTTTAGTCTATAGTCTAGTCTATAGTCTAGTCTATAGTCTAGTCTATAGTCTAGTCTATAGTCTAGTCTATAGTCTAGTCTATAGTCTAGTCTATAGTCTAGTCTATAGTCTAGTCTATAGTCTAGTCTATAGTCTAGTCTATAGTCTAGTCTATAGTCTAGTCTATAGTCTAGTCTATAGTCTAGTCTATAGTCTAGTCTATAGTCTAGTCTATAGTCTAGTCTATAGTCTAGTCTATAGTCTAGTCTATAGTCTAGTCTATAGTCTAGTCTATAGTCTAGTCTATAGTCTAGTCTATATCTAGGTCTATAGTCTAGTCTATAGTCTAGTCTATAGTCTAGTCTATAGTCTACGTCTATAGTCTAGTCCTATAGTCTAGTCTATAGTCTAGTCTAATGTCTAGTCTATAGTCTAGTCTAAGTCTACTCTATAGTCTAGTCCTATAGTCTAGTCTATAGCTAGTCTATAGTCTAGTCTATAGTCTAGTCTATAGTCTAGTCTATAGTCTAGTCATAGTCTAGTCTATAGTCTAGTCTATAGTCTAGTCTATAGTCTAGTCTATAGTCTAGTCTATAGTTAGTCCATAGTTAGTCTATAGTCTAGTCTATAGTCTAGTCTAAGTCTAGTCTATAGTCTAGTCTATAATCTAGTCTATAATCTAGTCTATAGTCTAGTCATAGTCTAGGCTATAGTCTAGTCTATAGTCTAGTCTATAGTCTAGTCTATAGTCTAGTCTATAGTCTGTCTATCGTCTAGGTCTATAGTCTAGTCTATAGTCTAGTCTATAATCTAGCCATTAGTCTAGGGCTATAGTCTAGCATATAGTCTAGTCTATAGTCTAGGCTATAGTCTAGTCTATAGTCTAGTCTATACTCAGTCTTAAGTCTAACCCCATTTACAAAAAATTTGTCCATATTTATACATAAATTTTTATAAAATTTTCTTTTTTTCTAG